GGTGTCGATGGCTTGGGTGAAAGGGGGTGGGCAGTCCCAGGAGCTGTCCTCCTCTGCGGGGTTTCCGGAGTGCAAGAAGGCCCTGAAGCTCCCAAGTCTAGAAGTCCTGCCGGGGGGAGGCTGGGATAACCTCAGGAATTTAGATATGGGCAGAGTCATCAATCTGGGCTACTCGCTGTGCAAGACCACGGAAGACGGATCCTATATCATCCCAGATGAGATCTTCACTATCCCTCGCAAGCAGAGCAACTTGGACATCAACTCTGAGATTATCGAGTCCTGGAAAGATTACCAAAGCATCACCTCTGCCTCCATCAACCTGGAGCTGTCCCTCTTCTCCTCCATCAATGGCAAGTTCTCCTACGACTTCCACCGGACCAAGACCCACCAAGTGAAAGACCATGCTGTCACCACCCGAGTGCAAGTCAGGAACCTGGTTTACACTGTCAAGATCGACCCAGGGGCAGTCCTTGACAAGGGCTTCAAGAAGCAGCTGCTGACAATCGCCAGCCACCTGGAGAACAACCAGACACGGATGGCTGATTTTCTGGCTGAGGTGCTGGTGCTTAACTATGGCACCCACACCATCACCTCCGTGGACGCCGGAGCCAGCTTGGTACAGGAGGATCAGATCAAGGCAACCTTCCTGAAGGACAGCTGGGCCACACGGAGTGCTGTCACCGCCTCGGCCGGCGTGGCCTTCCACAGCATCATCAATGTGAAAAACGACGAGTCCCTGGATATCAGCTCTGGCTTCACCAAGCAGTATCTGGAGAACCGCACGAACTCCAGGGTAGAGAGCATCGGTGGGACCCCCTTTTACCCAGGCATCACCCTCAAGACCTGGCAGGAGGGGATCAGAAACCAGCTGGTGGCTCTCGACCGCTCAGGGCTGCCCCTGTACTTCTTCATCAACCCCAACACCCTGCCAGAGCTGCCCACCCCCATGGTGAAGAAGCTGGCCAGGCGAGTGGAGATGGCTATCCGCCGCTACTACACCTTCAACACCTACCCGGGCTGCACTGATGCCACCTCGCCCAACTTCAACTTCCATGCCAACGCTGATGACGGCTCCTGTGAGGGTGCCATGACCAACTTCACCTTTGGGGGAGTCTTCCAGGAGTGTGCTGGGCTCGCTGGCCCTGACACCAGCACGCTGTGCCGGGGGCTGGAGCAGAAGAACCCCCTCACTGGGGCTTTCTCCTGCCCCACCACCTACACTCCGGTGCTGCTGGGCGTGCAGGAGCGGGAGGAAGGCCACAGCCATCTGGAGTGCCACAACAAGTGCATCCTGGGCATCTTCTGCCACCGCGAGTGCCGGGACATCTTCTGGCTCTCCCGGGTGCAATTCAGTGCCTACTGGTGTGCTGCGAGTGGGCCGGTGGCCCCAAGCTCAGGATACCTCTTTGGGGGGCTGTTCAGTGCCCACAGCGCCAACTCCATCACCAGCGCCCAGTCCTGCCCCTCGGGGTACTTCCCGCTGAAGCTCTTCGATGAGCTCAGGGTGTGCGTGAGCCAGGATTACGAGGGGGGCGGCCAGTATGCAGTGCCCTTTGGGGGCTTCTTCAGCTGCCAGGCAGGGAACCCCTTGGCAGGGCAGCACCAGGGCACCGCCGAGGACCCCCATGCCAAGAGCTGCCCCCCGGGCTTCAGCCAGCACTTGGCGCTCATCAGCGACAGCTGCCAGGTGGAGTACTGTGTCCAGGCTGGCATCTTCACAGGGGGCTCGCTGCCACCCGCCCGCCTGCCACCCTTCACCCGGCCCCCCACCAGCCTGCCGACCATCGACACGGTGCTGGTGAGCAGCGGGGATGGGGACAGCGCTTGGGTCAGGGATGGGCAGAGCCACATGTGGCGGTTGGCCCGGCCAGAAGAGATCCAGCACGCAGCAGAGATGGTGAGGGGCCGGGGCCTGACAGGGGGTGAGGTGGCTGGCATCACGGCAGCAGTCCTGGCGGGGCTAGCCACCATCCTGGCAACGGTCTGCTACAGCCGCTGGAGGTACAAGGTGAGGGGATACCGCGCGATGGGCGAAGGGGACAGCCTGGCCACCGTGAGCCCCGAGGACAGCACTGTGCTGAGCGTGGGCGAGGGGTACCAGCAAGAGCCGGAGGGACCGATGGCGTGAGCGTCCCCCCCCCCCCCGCAGTCGCCAGGCGATGCCTTGTGCCCCAAACCCAGGCAAAGCCCCCTGCCCACCCCCCCTTCCCGAGGCAAAACTGCGCAGCGCCACCAGCCCCCTGCCCC